TAGGCCAATCTTTCATAACCAAATATAAACCAAAAATTCTAACAAGTGAATTACGAAGACTTATCAAAGTTCGAGTTACGATACAAAGCGCTGATGGAGTTTTGAATGTTCTCTCCAACTAACTAAAATAGCCTAAACTTTTTGATGTGTTAAGAGATATGTTAAAAGCGTGTGTGTTGCCGAATACAAAGATAGAGCAATTAAATATAAAGTTAAAATTAGTAAGGGCTAATCTTGTAATTATGTGAGAGTTTTGGTTTAAAGTTGGCTAGGAATCAAGGCGAGCCTCTGGCGCTTTGCTGTCAATCGACAATAAGAGGTGCCTGTCGATCGACATTCATCTCGGATGTTGACTCTGGCTGGTTCAATGAACAGCTCCGAGTTTTTTCTATCTTTATCTCCAAAGTCACGAGACTAGTTTACAATAAGAGGTGTATGTCGATCGACAATAAGAGGTGTCTGTCGATCGACATTCATCCAATATGAATGTTACAAGAACGTAAAATTGCATAATCCTAATAGTATTAACTATTAACCATCAAGCGATGGAGAAAGAAAATCTCTCAAGCGATATTCCCAAGGCCTCCTCCAACCGTTTGAGATCTATTCAGCCACCGTAATTTTTGAATTTCTCCACCGCATCTACCACCTCTCGCCACCACACCAACATCCTGACCAAGCTTATTTCAAGTTCTCTTTCTCCTCACCTGAAGATTACTGGTGTTACTGGAATCAAATTTTATGCTATGGATCTCTGCAACTATCTAATCTATGAGTTTAGAAAATTGAGCGTGGGTGCTCACCTCTAAACTCCCTTCGAAAGCTTCTCGCTGGGACGATACGACCGAAGACACGCAGCACAACGACGTGCAGACTCCTTACTTCACTGAGCCATTCTAGCTCTAAGATTTCCCTACAAAGCCTAGAAGATAATTTGTTTGTACTAAAGCACCGGCAAAACAACCACTTGCCTTTGAGACTCTACCTTCGGAAGAAATCATCATTACGCGGGCCTCGCCGTAACAGTCTTGTTACGGTCCAAGCTGAGAATCCTCTCAAGTTCTTAGATTTGAGCGTTGAGTATTATAAAGCCCCTTTTGATCCACAAATCACAGATCCACATCCAGAGTAGTTTGTTTTTGGTTTATCACATTAGAGTTTTCTGGTGTTGATAAATACAATATACAACTATTTCTATAAAAAAATAAAAAAAATCACTGCTTTCATTAGTTATTGGTCATTGAGATGAATACAATCGCATGGAATTGTCAAGGAGCGGGAGCAATCTTGACCAAGGAGCATCTACATGAGTTGTTTCACTGTTTTTTACCTAAATTTTTATTTCTGTCGGAGATTAAAAACAATCGGAATTTTATGCAAGATGTGCAAGTGTCTTTTGGATATGACCATGTTTGGACCGTGGATCCGGTGGGTCGAAGCGGAGGTCTAGCGCTTTTTTATATGGATGATCCCTCGGTTCGTATTTTATATGCGGATGAGCATATGATCGATATTGAAACTAGACTTGAAGGACATGCAATTTTTATGACATTTGTGTATGGAGAACCTGATATTAGATATCGCGATTTGGTTTGGGAACGACTGTCACATATGAGTACAACCCGTACTGGCGCGTGGTTTATGATTGGAGATTTCAATGAGCTCACAGGCAATCATGAGAAGAGGGGAGGAAGACGTCGCTCAGAGAGTTCTTTCCTCCCTTTCTGAATCATGTTAGAAAACTGTGGAATGCTTGACTTTTCATATAAGGGAAATTCGTTTTCATGGGTGGGAAAAAGGAAAAATGGAAAAGTTAAATGCAAACTTGATAGAGCAATGGCAAATGAGGAATGGCACGACCTGTTTAACCATAGTATTGTGGAATATTTACAGCTATGGGGGTCGGACCATAGACCATTCCTTACAAGGATTCAATCATCCTCCCGATGTACCAAGAGAAGAATTTTAGATTTGACAAGAGGTGGATAGGCAAACCCGGGTTTAAGGAAGCGGTAACTTCGGGATGGGGACGATTTGACGACATTCCGGTCCGGAATTTTCCATCAAAAAGTTACCTCATGTCGGAACAAGATCAGTACTTGGAAAAAAAACAATCCGACAAATTCAGCGGTCCTGATTGAAAATTTAAAAAACAGGATTGATTTGGCCCAAGATGATGAAAATTCTATGACTGAGGAACTAGAAGATTTGAGGCGACAACTGATAATGACGTTTAAAGAAGAGAACACTTTCTGGGAACAAAAGAGTAGAGATCAATGGCATAAATATGGGGATAGAAACACAAAATTTCACCATGCCACTACAAAACAACGACGAGCACAGAATCGAATCGTAAGTATTAAAGACAAACATGGGAGGTTGGTAGAGAGTGAAATCGAGGTGGAGACCGTTGCGGTTCAATACTTTCGAGATCTCTTCTCTACCTCCTCTCCGATAGAGGTTGCACCTCCCTTCGGTTTATTACAGAAAAGTATCCCAGGCCGACAATAGGTTACTCTTAGAGGTACCGTCGGAACAGGAGATTCGGAGAGCCCTCTTTGATATTAACCCGGATAAAGCACCAGGACCGGATGGCATGACTAGTAAGCTTTTCCAGAAATTTTGGAGTGAGATGCGGCAAGATATCACTAGACTGGTACAAGATTTTTTTGAGACTGGGAGCTTTGATCCACTTTTGAACCAGACGAATATATGCCTTATTCCGAAGAAGAAGAAACCCCGGGAAATGTCAGAATTTAGACCTATTAGTCTCTGCAATATTAGTTATAAGATTATATCTAAGCTATTATGCAAGAGACTTAAGAGGCTAATTCCGCGACTGATTTCGGAGACACAATCACCATTTGTGGCTAAACGTTTGATCACTGACAACATTCTGATAGCACAAGAGAACTTTCACGCCCTAAGGACAAACCAAAGATGTAGGGAAGACTTTATGGCCATCAAGACCGATATGAGTAAAGCTTACGATAGAGTGGAGTGGAGTTTTTTGGCTACTCTGATGTTGAAGATGGGCTTTGATGAAAAACTGGTTGACCTCATTATGTGTTGTGTCACGTCGGTTTCATATCAAGTTCTAGTCAATGGACAACCGAGAGGGCGGATCTTACCGAGGAGGGGCCTGAGACAAGGAGACCCCTTGTCCCCCTTCTTGTTTATCCTGTGTACAGAAGCTTTAATTTCGCTGTTGAATGGAGCGGAAGCGGAGAAGAAGATTGTAGGTCTTCGGGTGGCACAAGCGAGCCCAAGGACCTCCCATCTATTATTTGCGGATGATAGTCTATTCTTCTGCAAGGCGGAAGCCAGTCAATGCAAGGAGATCATAGACATCATAGACATTTATGGTAAAGCATCGGGACAAAGATTAAATGCGGCAAAATCATCAATGTTCTTCGGGAACCGTGTACACTACCATCGGAAACAAGAGATAAAAGAGGTCTTGGGGATTCTCGGCCGAAGGAGGCATGGGGATGTACCTTGGACTACCTGAACAGATATGTGGTTCAAAAACCAAAGTCTTTTCTTACGTACAAGACCGGCTGAATGGACGAGTGAATAATTGGTCTTCGAGATTATTGTCCAAAGGGGGAAAAGAGGTCCAGATTAAAGCGGTGGCCCAAGCAATTCCGACATATCCAATGTCATGTTATTTGATTCCTCAATGCATCATTGATAAATTACGAAGCACGAATTCAAATTTTTGGTGGAGTTCAAAACATAACAGGAGAGGTTTGCATTGGATATCATGGGACGAAATATGTATCCCTAAGGATTTAGGGGGACTAGGATTTCGTGATCTCCATGATTTCAACCTAGCACTTCTTGCAAAACAATATAGACTTCCTCTTTTGGAAGAGAAAAGAGGTGGCTCCACGGAGACCACAATTCGACACATTCCCATGGATCTGTTGGTACATTTGGAAGGCGAGGAACGACAAACTCTTTAATGGGAAAGTCGTATCCCCAATGGATACTCTCCAACATGCGTCTCTTGAGGCAGAATGTTGGAGAAAAGCGAACATGAGAGAGGGAATCGACGAGGCCTTTGAGGTATCTTCCTCTTTGGAGATCGAGACAGAACCCTCTGGGAACCCCCGAATCCCGACCTGCCAAATTGATGCATCATGGATCGATCATGGCAGCGTTAGTGGCTTAGGGTGGAGTCTTAAGGATCAAATGGGCTACGAATGGGTCGGACAACGGGCGTGTAGGAGAAGCCGTTCAGCTCTGCATGCAGAGATGGAAGGTCTACTCTGGGCAGTCTCATGTATGAGAGACTTGCGGATCAACTCGCTGAGGATTGAGACGGACTGCGCGGATCTAGTAGACATGTCTATTAATCCGGAGGAATGGCCAACCTTCACAACAGAGATCGAGAGGCTTAAGAGACTACAGGAGGATTTTGAGGATATGAGGCTTTCTCATATTCCTCGAAGTAGGAATGGTCGAGCGGATAGACTAGCTAAAGAGGCGAGAAGAAAAGAATCTATTTTTTCCCATATATATCAGACCAGGACAGACGGAGATGCTCCTAGGGGAATCGACTCATCTATTCACCACTTGATTTAGCTTTAGATGGGCGGGTGACAAAAAAAAAAAAATGTTACAAGAACGTTGGTAGGTTAGATCACTGAATAGGTACGTCAAAAGAAAAGAAAAGAAAAAACTGTATTATTGATTGTTCGTGTGACTGCGGGATGTAGTTACCGGTACCAGCTTTTAACGGAAGTCCAATTGATTGTTCGTGTGACTGCGGGATGTAGTTACCGGTACCAGCTTTTAACGGAAGTCCAAGTTGAATAATGGCGTGGGTACTTAACGGAAGCTACATTCATATATTAAACAAACGGTAGAGCAAAAGAAAAGTATTTGATATTTTTTATCTGTTAATACAATTTATTTATTTTTTATTCCACTATCCTCTTCTTCGTTCCTGCAGTTTCCGCCTCAAAAAGGTTTTAGCTTTCCGACTTGTGAAGATGTTCTCGGCTCAGAACAAGATCAAGAAGGACAAGAATGCTGCTCCAACAGAATGTGAGGAGCAGGTTGCTCAGGCTCTGTTTGATTTGGAGAACACCAACCAGGAGTTGAAGAGCGAGTTGAAAGATCTTTACATCAACCAAGCTGTTAACATGGACTGGAAACCGCAAGGCTGTTGTGATTTACGTCCCATTCAGATTGAGGAAATCTTTCCGCAAGATTCATCCCCGTCTCGTTAGAGAGCTGGAGAAGAAGTTTAGTGGAAAGGATGTTATCTTTGTTGCCACAAGAAGGATCATGGGTCCACCAAAGAAGGGTGCTGCTGTTCAGAGGCCACGCAACAGAACTCTAACCTCTGTTCATGAACTCTAACCGTCTTGATGGTTCCAAGATCACCAAGGTGTATTTGGAAGCCAAGGAGAGGAACAACACAGAGTACAAGCTCGAGTCTATGATGGGTGTGTACCGTAAACTCACTGGAAAGGATGTCACTTTTGAGTACCCTGTTGAAGCTTGAAGGATGTTGCTGAAGAATCACATCAGGATAGAGAATTGAGAGCTTTTGGTTCTGTTTTGTGGTGTTTAGGATGAATGTTCAGTTCCTTATTCCCAATCTTCATATTACAAAAACAACTTTCTATGCTTTTCAATTTTGAAACCTTTAAAAGAGTCAGTTTGCTCAAATTCCGACAACAATACATTGAGAAAGTCTTTATACTCCACTATATTCATTTTCGATATGGTATATAAAAACTTGGTTGGAGGAAAAAAAGCTCTTTAATAATCCATTGTCCATTGTCTTGATTTGTATATATATATATGTGTGCACTTATTAAGGTAGTCTCATTGACGCCTTAACTCATATAACTTGTCTTATATTTTGCTGAGAATACTTAATCCGAATAAAATTGTTAATATCTTGTGCTTCCACAATTGAAGGATTATCAGTCAACGTAAGAAGACTTCATGCATGTTAGAAACTGGTAACTCTTGTTGAAAAAACGGTGACAATTACAGTTACAATTTAAATGGTGATTCCTCTTTCTCTTCCATCTATACGCCACCTAGAGAAGAAAAAAACGAGACGAAAATATGTCAATACAATGGTAGAGTTGTATATAATAAGAGTGATGAATATGCATTTTTCGGTCGAGAGTAAAAAATGCGGGCGTTCTGTCTACATTTCGGTTTTCTTCTAGCAAAGGTGATTAAGTTAGTTAATTTAAAGCAATATAAAGTTATAGTTATCTGTGGGATAAGTATTTCAGCTTAGTTTAGAATAATCGATTGTTTTATCTTGATTGAGAAGGAGAAATTTGACGTACCGTAATCTCTTGTTGTCTTGCATTTGAAGCATTCAACCCTGCTAGCGTAATTATGAACCCCACAACCGACTCTTGGACAAACCCAATCGCCAGTTTTCCAGCCGGGAGGACAAGATCCGGCATCATTCCCGTAAGCAACCATTTGAGCTCCGTAGTACTGATCTGTATACTCGACTTTGATCATTCCACATCGATAGCAACTTGTGCGGCTTGCGTAATTGTGGCTCCCACAATTCAATGCACCGCAATACCAATCACCAGCCAAAACTTCAGTCCTATTGTACAAATACGTTGACACATCAACCCCTCCAAACTTGGGGTATCCACATTTCTGGCATGCTTCTCTTTTTTTGAAGTTTGCGTGCTGACACGCTCCACATAGCCAGTCTCCTCCAGTCCAGCTCATCTTTCTCTATATAAGTCTCTAAACACCTGCAACGTTTACTTATAGTATTTAGCCAATATACTCGAAAGTAAAAACTTTTATGAAGGAGATTGGATTTAAAGAAAAGGCCGAACCTGTGAACACAAGAAGAGACTAGTAAGCTAAAGGAAGTGGTGAAATTGGTTGTTTGAGGAACATGGCTTTATATAAGCATTATCATGAGAATGTATATATAGGTAGATGCTGATTCCATCAACTTTCTCTGCAACTCGAGGACATTGTAAAAGAAGTTAAATTAAGAAATTAACACGAATGAATTAGCCTTGTGGTGTGGCGAGGTGGTCAACCAAAATACATGGTAATGTTTGAACGACTCCGGTTCGAGCTGTCCCACTGCGGTTAGGATATGGGCTTCGGCGCAAGATCCTGTTATGTATTCATATGTATCATCTAAAGTTTCTAGATGATCTAGTCATATTGGGTTTAGGAAAATATTTTTACGTCTCTACGTTCAAACATTACGGTCAAGAAGACATCCGATGCCAATTTAAATAAAAAGTTGAAACTCTATTTCACGTGAAAGAAAAGAACGTCGATGGATAAATTAGGAGGGAAATAACGGAAGCACCATTGAGGGCTTAAAGTGATTCTCAATTGCATTATTGTGGGTAAAAGAGAAGATGATGAAGGGGTATTATTCTTTTCTGTTGCCCCCCAATAACCATTTGTTCCAATTCTGCCCTTCATTCGTGTCCCTTCGTACCTAGCTCCATATTGGATTTCGACATCTTATATGTTATCCGTTTCGTTTTATTATGTTATCAATTACAATAAATATATATATGGCTTATAAGTTATAACTAGAGCTGGACCCGTCCGACCGGACGGGTATTTATTTTATTTTTATATAAATGAATATTATTTAAATGTCTATTCGTTAATATTTTTAAATATTTATCATATTTCTAAATTTTTAAAAACACAACGATCGAATAGTTTATGTGCTGTAAAAATAGTGATTCGTGTCCATTATTAAACTTTTGAAAAACTAATATTGACCTATTGATAGTTTGAATAATATTTCTTGTAACATGAAATTGTTTGCCAAATGTAAAAAGAATTTTAAATATTTTGATCAGATATGGATAATATGGTAAGATTTAGATACGTTATAAAAAAGAATTAGACCTTGACCCGTGCGACCGCACGGGTATTCATTTTCTGTTTTTAAGTTTTCTTTGTACTAAATGATGTATTTGTAATATTTGGTTATGTTAATGATATACTAAATGATGTATTTGTAATATTTAATCGTGATTATTTTATGTTTAAACCATCAATTGTATTATCAATATTCGATATCATATAAACAAAATTTAATATATATTTAATTAGATATCTGTATAAGATAAAGAAAACAAATAACAATGTTTAATAATTTAAAATATGAAAAATAGAGAACTGTGGTTTAGTATGCTATAGAAAATGATAACTTAGTTATAAAATTTTGAAAAAAAAATACAATGATTTTTAAACTTCTATAAAATTTGTACCAAATAATAATATTTCTTACAAATTTTGTAAGAAAAAAAAATTACATTGTGTTAATAACAAATGACTTATGGGCTCGGTCCAAACCGAGCCTGTAACCTTTTTTCAGGAAGTGTAACAAAAAAATTATCTTTGGCAATTGTTAACAAACAAAAATAATCTCAGTTATTTGTTTTATGTTCTGTCTATGAAAGTTAAAAATAATCTCTTTCTTTTTCGATGATTTTGAGGAATTTTAATAGAAGATAATCCCTTGGAAATTGGAAAATCCGTTCATCTAGTTCTCATTTTTACTATTTTGATCCAAAGAGCTTCTGCAAGGTTAATATATGTAACCCTTTCTCAAGTTTACTATTTCGATCGGTTATGTCTTTTGATGTTTTAAAAGGACCGGGTACTTTCATCAAATTTTTTACTTCTTATTTGAATTGAGTCTTTGTACCTATCCTCTTAAATACCATAAGAACAAACATATTACCTAATTCTTCACCATCTCTATTCACTGGTTTTATAAACTTTGAATTTTGTAAACACAAAATGATAAGGTTAGTAAGAGCAAGAGTTTCATCAGCGTAGGGTGGGTTTTTGTTTCCACGAGTGTATGAGCTTCACTTGCAGTCGCCACACTTCTTTGTAAGGTTTAACATCTTCAAGCAATGAAAAACTTTTGTTTGTTGACTTGGTGTTTTTGATCAGTGAAAAAAAGTCTAGTGGTTTTGCATTTTCACGTGGAAGGTCTGGTATATATAATGGGATATGAAACCCTAAAAGAAAACAATATTTTGCAACTAAATTTCTAAGGCATATCACGATAATTAATTTTATAAAATATTTGTTTAGATTTTTTAGACGCAAATAGTAGGGATTAATTAGAGAAGATGCATTAACTTCGTAGAATATCCGATACTGAGTACTTATTTCCATAGTTTTCAAATTACAGTTCGTATAGATATTTTAAAAAGAAAGATTTAGAAAATCAATGATTTCAATACTAAACAAAATTTTGTCCTCAAGTAAAAGGATAGATAGGTATATGGAAAAAAATAATTGATTTAGGATTCTAAGATTTTATCTTATACTGTAGTTAGTTGAAATCATGTGTACCAATTTCTAGATTTTATTGTTACTAAAAAGTTATGGTGAGACTGAATATATGGATTTAAACTTGATTAAATAGGTTTAAAATTTTATTTTTATATTTTGTTCTGATTTAATTTCCTATGCGTTATGAAGAAAATGAGTTGGAGAATATTGGAGATTTATGGTTTTGTAAATTTTTCAATGATGTCTCTCTTATAATCACGTAAGATAAATAACTCAATTTATTCAACTTTTAATTGATTTGTTTGTACAGATTTAATTTGCTATGTGAAAGAAAGAAAATGAGTTGGAGGATGTTGGAGACTTATGGTTTCGTAAATTCCAATGACAATCTCAATGATGTCTCTATTATAATCACGCAACATTTTATTGTCACTGATTTTATTAGATACATTTGATAAAACCATGTTTTTGTTGGCAAATTTATTTTAATTAACAACCAATTTAATTAATCTCTATCATTAAAGGAGGAAAAGACAAAGATACCTAAATATAGATTCAATAAATATATAATCAGTGGCATTCTAATGTAAATAAGTTGTAAAACTAAGGGTTAATTTTATTTGGTACTTCTGTTTTAATAAAGTAGATATTTGGTTATAAACATTAAACATTGTTTTACAAGTAATTCAATATTTCAATTTCAGTATTAAATTTTCTTGTTGAAAATAATTAATAGCAACCAAAATGGTAAAACATATATTTTAGAAATTCTTGAAAAATATATAATCTTAGGTGAGATTTAATTATATTAAAATAATATTCAGTTACAAATAGTTCATGTTGTTTATAAGTAGTTTAAATATAATTAAAATCTTATTGTTCAAAATAATTAATGCTAAGTTAAACATATATTTTAGGAATATTCATAATATTTTTTTAATTTCTAATTTAAACTTGAATTTTGTTCAAAATAATTAATGGTAACGTTATACAAATTTAATATTGTTAAAATCAATTTTAAATATGAGTATTTCTAAAAATCAGCTAGTTTATTTTAGGGAATATATTAAACACGAAAAATTAAGCTAAAATTGATTTAGGAAATTGTTTAATAAATAGGAAAATACAATGATTACTTACATATAAGTTCATTTAATTACTTCAATGGCATGCTATTGTAAATAAAAGTGAAATCTAAGGGGTATTTTATATGGGTACTTGTCTTTTAATAATATAGATTTTTGACAAAAGGAATAAATATTACATTATAAAAATTTTACATTTACATGTAAAAATACAAACAAAGATTAAATAACAAACTTATTCATATATATCTAGATCATTTACCTATCACATATAACATAATTAAAAGTAAATAGCAAAATTTTACTAATTTCTCACTTTTCTAATGTTTGCGGGAATATGATTTGGTCTTACAGTGCTATATGAATACACAATTTCTGAAAAAAATAATTATAGCAAAATTGTTTTTCTAAATAGAATGAGATCTGCCTACCGAATTTATCAAGGATAAATAATATAGATCATTTACCTATAAAGAAAAGAAAACTCAATAAGAAAAAAAATCCAATATACTTGGTAGATTTTAAGATATATTCTAGTTAGTATATTGGATTTCCACATACCAAACTAGAATATATCTTAAATTCTACCAAGTATATTGGATTTTTTTTTCTTATTGAGTTTTCTTTTCTTTATACTAAATCTTCGACAACTTAGTCTCCAAGTAACACCTAGGTCATCTCTAGCTCGGGTCTAACTTCAGTCCCCAAGTCAGCCCCTAAGCAACATATTGATCTTTCATTTGTCAAAATTGTTGTAGTTTTAGATCTTGCTGCATTTCTAACTTGTTTAAGTTGTTCTTATATCTTTCCCTCTTCAACCTCCTCTTTCTAGCTTTGAATGTTCTGTAAGTACATGTAAAGATATGCTTACCAAAACTCATATATATGTCGTACAACACATAAGAAAATTCATGAATTAAAAACTGAATTGTGTAAGACATACAAATCCATGAGTCCCCCAAAAGCTAGGGGTAACAAAACATGTAAAACTAGATATCTCCCCTCCCATAAACCTAACATGCATTGTTTCCAGAACTTGTATGTCCTATATCATCAACTCCCCGGTCCTGAGAGAATTATTTGGATTAACCATCCTTGCAATCCAGCTGACAAAACATATCAGTGTTTCCCTTGCTTCAGCTATTAGAAGGAGTGCATTAGTTACTTTTTACAAATCATCCAAAGAAATGGTCGTTCCACGATGACTGAAAGTGCTTTTTCCTCATGTCTCGGGATTTCCATATACTAGAACATAGTGACCACCAGGGGAAGGCCTGCATTGATATCTTGTGTTTTTGGCATAATGTAAATAAGTTCTCTCATTTGTTTTTAAGTTTATCGAATATTTTTAGTTATTTTCAAGTCATTACAGGTCCGGAGTAGGTTAAAAGGCTCCTTCAGGATTCATGAAGAAAACAATACAAATTGAAGTTTTCATGCGGAGCAATCAGACAGAGCAACCGAGAGGGTGATCCTAGACACAGCAGC